GTGTTTTAAGCATAAATAAATGCCATATTTCGCCAAGTGCTTTTTCTGCACTATTGAGACAATCATGTGATTCTTGTCTTTAATTCTATCAATGTGATGGATTAAATTTCTTGATTTCCTTATGTTGAACCATTCTTGTATCTGTGAAATGAACCCCACTTGATCATAGTATACTATCTTCTAAATATGCAATTTTTCCATTATTTTATTAAGAATTTTTGCATCTATGCTCATCAGGGATATTGGTCTAAAATTTTTGTTCTTTGATGTGTCTTCATCTGCTTTTCAATCAAATGATGCTATCTTCATACAATGAGTTTGGAAGGGTTCCCTCCTTGCCTGTGACATCTTTGTCTCACTTCTTAGAAGACTGTAATTACATTGGGTCTGCTCAAAGAATCCAGGAAAATATTTGCTGTCATAGTCCCTAAATTAATCCCCACTGAGAAGTTTCTTGTGCCATGTTATGTAACATAGTCTCAGGTCCCATCAATTTGCAAATGGAATAATTGGGGACAATGGTTTACCTGTTATATTGGCTATATGCCTAGTCTGGGCATCCACACCTTAGTTTCCCAATCTTTCTGATAGGAGTAATTGTATCAACATGATACATGAAACTCTGGACTTTCATCTCAGATATGAAGGAAACCACATCTCTATAAAAATATGTTTCCTCAAAATACATGTCACCTTGATCCTATTTTATTTTCCACTTCTTGTTATACATCCTTTCTTCTCTCAGTTTGAATTTCTACCTAGGCTACGTTGACATCACCTTTCTTTCTTCATGCAGATAGCTCACACTGTCCAGGCTACTGACACTCTCAACTCTCAAAGGGGTGTATTCATGCCTGGGACACACTCTGGTGACTTCTTCCATGTTTACTATTTGTACTGCTTCTTCTGGGAAATTGTGACTGTGACGTGTTGTATGTGAAGCAATCCTGTGACTCTGGTTTCTCCCAAACCAGCAATCATCAAGGTCCCAGTTCATCAAGCGTGGCCATCACAGGTGACTTGTGTTTCCTCCTCCCATTCTTTCATCCCACATAGAAGTTTCCATATTAAAATCAGGTTGAATCATCACTTACATGAACATTGATTACAGCCCACCCTCTCTCTCAACATCTCTTGTATGGATTTGCTACTGGGTGTGGCTTCCTGTCACTTTCTCCTCTTGGTCTGTCCTTTTACCAACCATATAGCACCAATATGTCTGCTCCAGGGCAAACTGTTCACTTTTATTTACATGTACCACTTCATCCAAAGGTGACATTCCAGGCATGGTGGCAAAGGCCTGGAATCCCAGTGACTCTGGAAACTCGTGTGAAGAAAGTCATCACTTTCTCACTGCTATTTCAACACTTGAGAAGATTCTCCATCCCCACTCCCCCCCACTGTCTATAGTACTTCACCTGATTGGTTAGGTCACTCAGGTTAATTACATTGCTCTTGGGGGGTCATTGTGGGAGGACTTAGTTGTGACTTATTTCGGATCAATGCCATGTGAAATTATTTGTTCTGAGGGTCTAGGAAAGTTTCCTCTCATTCTAAGAAGAATAATTTTTTTAAAAATTAGCCCCCTGTTCTTGGAGTTGATATATCGTGTTGTGCTATAGGGTAGGAAATTGCTGAGGTTGTCCTCACCCAGCCTGAGAGTAAGAGTAGTTTACAGAAGAAGAAGAAGAAAGACCCAGGAAAAGATGGGAGGACACCTGGACCCTCAGTGGATGAATCTAGAGCTTCCTCTTCTTTGGGGCTTCTTGTCTTGGTAGTGACACATTGCATTCAGGTTTAAACTCTTTGAGATAGTTTTTTTGTTTTTCAATTTAAAGTAGCTTTAATCTAATCAAACAATTTTCAAAGTTAATGATTTCCTTTTCACAATCTCCACCCTTGTATATTGACACAGTCCAGGAATTTGCACAGTCTGTTAAAACTGCTGAGTCACCCCCCCCTCGTCCCCGCCCAGAGCATGTGCTCAATGGATTCTAGGAGCTAATACAGTATCGACTAGCATTTAAAAAAAATAATAATGCAGAAAAAAAGTCATGTTAAAAATGGCCCCAGTTTTCACTTCACTCATGGAGAAGCCACATCAGGGCAGTTTCTTAGATATCACTCATTCCGTGAATCAAGAGTGTAGGAGTTGCATTTGACTTGAAATTCCATGGGTTATGAATTCCATCAAATATCATAATTAAAACTCCACCTGGATTCCCTTAAACACCTCTGGCTTTTTTTTTTTTTTTGCCCAATTTTACATCCAGGGTAAAGCAATGTTTCATCTCCCCTACAGAAAGGTATTAGTTGTTTCTCTGCTTCCCCCAACTCCCCTGTTTTCTAAAGCATTCCAGTTCTAATCCTTGACCCATGTCACCCCTCAGCCCCCCTATTCCTAACAGCCTTCTCAGTGAGGTCAAGTGTATGCTTTTTCTGGTATATGTGGTAAACTCACCCTAGAGAATTCAAAACAGTATATTCTCCTAGGGAAAATGTTGAAGCTAGCACACAATTTTATTTTCTTTCTTTTTAAATTTTTATTTCATTTCATTTTAATGAAGTATTGAGCATCAAACCCAGGAGCACTCTGCCATGTATTTGCATCCCCAGCACCCTCCCCACTTTTTAATGATTTTATTTTGAGACTGTCTCACTAAATTGCCCAGACTGGCCTTGAACTTGCCAATTCTCCTGCCCCAGCCTCCTGATTAGCTGCAATTCTAGGCATACACCATTACACCTGGCTGACAGATCATTATCAAAAATTATATTGATAATTTTGCTGAGCTCATATTTTCAGTTCTCTGCAAATGGACAAGTCTCTTTTAGGACAAATGAGTGAAGTAAAAAAGAAGTAATTATTTTCTTAAGGCAGTTGAATGGCTATTTCTTAGGACTAAAGGATGCACTCTTTTTTCCTCACCCTCTTCTCATTCCTGCTTTTCTATTTCCACCCTTCTTTCCTTCTCCATGCCCATCTTCTCCTCCCTCTCCTGTAGGTCTCAACATTCCTCAAGTCTCTGAGATCTGTTTGTTGTTCAACGCAGTGGGAAACACACTGGGGAAACTTTGAATCTTTGCCAACTGTAAGAGCCAATGCTGGTTGGGCCAAAGCCCCAAGTATGAGCCAGTGATATCCCTAGTAAACTCAGGAGGCTGGAGGTTTCACATCTGAACCTTGGAGAAAATATTGTGGACAGGGAGAGAAAAATAGGGTGCTCAGTATGTTGCTGAGTGAATTGTGGGAAAGAGCCACACCATCCTCATTGACACTAGGCATATGAACTAAGGATAAGAGCTGTGCCTAAGGCTCCACAGAATTTTGGTGACACTTCTCATTCCCCTTAGAACATTCAGTCTGCATCAAACTCTGCCTCACCTTGGAGTTTATATCCACATGATGTGGGAACTGGGCATTAAGGTGCAGTCTGTGCATAAAGAGGGAGCTTGGGTGTTATGTATGCTGGGCTAAGAGTAGGGACTTGGGTATAAATTCAGAGATCTTAATACATCCCAAGAGGATCATCCCATAAACCCTCTCTTTTATGGGTTCAGAGTATGATGTAATTAATACCCATTCTCCTCATTCAGTGCTATTTATCACCTATTTTTATTTTTCATATTCTGCAGAATATTGACCTTGAGATATTGACATTGCTACCAGAGTTTCCTCCTTCTAGGCAGGATGGCAAGGATTTCTGAATTTGGTAGAGGTGGTTTGGAAGCAGGGTCTATGATTTCTGGTTATTTTCCTTGCTTTTTCTCATATTAAAATAAAACAAATGTTTCACAATAAGGATGTTTGTTTTTTTGTTAAATGAAAATAATCCTCACAAATTCCAAAGTTTAGAAAATAAAAAACAGTTGTGCATTTTCTCTGATGACTTCTCTAAGCAAACCTATGGGTTGTTATGTGTGTTTTATTTATTTATAAACATAAAGTCATCATCACCATATAGATTGTATGTCTTTCTTTTATTAATATAATTACTTATTCAATGATTCCAGTATACTTTGCTTGTTCTAAAAATATTCACCTTTTTAATTTGTTTAATTTCCTAATCATTAAAGCAAATTAGAGCATTTCTATTAGTTGATTGTGTCACTCATTCTTTCATTCTTCCTACAAAACTTTACCGTACATCTTTTGTATTTCAGATGTTTTTTATGGATAAATAATCCAGGGGTAATTGTGCAGTCACAGAAGAATAACATACTAAGAGGTAACATATCCTCAGGTTCCAGGTATTTGGGCATGGGATAATTAGGGACCGTGATTTAGTGTATCATACTAGCTATGTGATTATTCTGAGACAGCCAGGCCTGAGTTTCCTAATCATCCTGATAGAAATAATTATATCAATTTAGGCCCTAGATACTTGAATCTATAAACTTTCATCTCAGAAAGGAAGGAGAAAACTACATCTATAAAAATATGTTCTTTCAAGGCTGTTGTCCCTCTCAACCCCCATAGGATTGTACTCATGCCTAGGACACACTTCTGGTGACCACTCTCATTTTTACTACGATTATGGTTTAGATATGTGGTATCCCCCAAAAGCTGATGTGTGAACAATGCAAGAAAGCTTAGAGGTGAAATGATGGGATTGTGAGCACCTTAACCTAATCAGTGCATTAATCCCCTGATAGGTATTAACTGATGGTAACTGCAGGCAGGTGGGTGTGGCTGGATGAGTTGGGTCATTAGGTCATGCCTTTGGGGTATATATTTTCTCTGTCTCACTCCCTCTCTTTACTTCCTAGTATGATGATCTGAGCCACTTTCCTCTACTGCAGTTTTCCACCATGATGTTTTGCCTCACCTTTACTCCCAAGGAATAGAGCCAGCTGTCTGTGGATGCCGACCCCTGAAACCATGAACCCCCCAAATAAACTCTTCCTCCTTAAAATTATTCTTGTCTGGTCTTTTGGTTTGAACAGTGAAAATGCTGATTAAAACAACTACTTAAAACACATTGCACACTAAGTAATTCTGTGACTCTTTCCTTTCTTTCCCATGCCTCTATTCAGACTTTAGTTTCAAGAGTTCCATCATTGGTGTCTATTATTTCCTCTTCCCATTCTTTCACCCCCATATAAGTTTACATATTCAAATTATGCTAAGTCATTAATTAAATGTGCATTGCTCGGATTTCCTTCTCCCTCCCCCACCCCTTTCTCTCCACATTTCACCTAGGTTTGCTGCTGGGTGAGGTTTTAGTATTAAATAGGAAAATAACTTTACATTATTTTTTAAAGGCAACAAAAATTTAACCCCTTTTCTTCCTGATCTGTGAGCAGAGTTCCAGTGAACGTGAGTTTGACAAACAGCATAGATTAGAAACGATGTGTCCAATCCACCAGAGATGTCTCCCACATCACTATTGATTAGCAGGGGTTAAAGTCAAAGTGATGACAAAGGCCTCCATGTCAGCATTCATCAAAATGTGGATAATTGGGATGTCCATAAAATCTACAATGAGAAAAAAATGTGCATAATATCAGCTCAGTGACTCCATTTCTAGAATGGTAAAGAGATTTCCAAAAGCATCCATTAGGTCATGTTTGATAATTTTGTTTCCTTAGAGCAAGGTTGTAAGCTATGCCTTTCTTAATTTCATGAGCATGACATTATATTAATGATTTTCTGGAAATCATAATTAAATTATTCAAATTCTATTTTCTCACCTGGAATTTAATACAGACAATATACCAAGGCAAAAATCTGAACATATTTTTATCCCCATTCACATTTGTCAGAACAGGAATGTAGTTTCTCATCCCATCTTATTTCCAGTTCTAAATGAAACTTCCTGTTATCAATTTTCTCAAAGAAAAATGACTCTTTCTTGTTGAACAAGGTCAATTGCAGACATTGGTCAACATGAGAACATTATTTCAGGCTGTGTAAATTACTGCCAGCAACTTCACTTCCATTGTGCTAATTCATTAATTATTTACTTATTGCCCTTCACACTCAGCATGTTCTATTAAATTCAGAAATGGAAAGAATTTCATTTATAACATAGATGTCCAAATCCTAAGGGTTTACCATATAATTTGGAGATTTGTAGACTTTACAAATAAGGTAAAATATAAAAATCATTATTTATTATAATACTTAAGCAGCAATTATTATTCATTACTTGCCACTTCCTCAATCTCTGATCTCTACATAGGAAAATAACTTTATATTATAACTCATCATAACTCATAATTCATAACTCATAACTCATCATCTTTCTCTGTATTAATAAAAATATTAGTAATGACACATCTACCAATTTTGAAGTACATACAATTTTATATTATGCTAATCTCTTTCATACAGTATCATATCAATTTTATATTATGCTAATCTCTTTCATACAGTATCATATGTTTCTAATATGAATTAAATTCTCACAGGAAAGAGGAATCTATTCTCCTGCTCACCTTCATAATATATTTTCTTTATCAGATTTTGTAACCTCAGATCATGAAGGAAGGATAAAGATCATTTGTTAGCTAAATATTCCCTTTACTAAGGAGGTTTCACCCCATGCTGTCCTTCAGTTTCAGTCTCTATTCTGTTAACACTTCTTTATCCTCTGCATTGAGATTTCTGTATTTCAGAATATCAAAGTCCACTGTTTCTATTTATCCACTGGTGACAGCTATTCTGTAGACAAAAGCAGTTTCTGGGTTCTGAGCAAATATGCAATGGAGAGAAAGAGAGGTTCTTGAAACTATCAGTCATTAAATGAAAGATTGATGAACAATTTTATATGGAGGATATGAGACTTTCTAACTGGGAACACAGGGTTGATAGAGATGCTTTTAACCTGATAAGAAATTAAGAAATATGGGAGAAGATGATAGAAAACTGGTTTTAAAAATACTTAATAACACTATATTGGTGATAACCAAAGTGTATATCCACTACAAAGTCATAGGATAGAGAGACCTACTTACAGGTGTATATTCAGCAACGATATTGGTTTATCTGAATCATTCCATGTAATGAGAAGTGCCCAGGTGCATGTGTGGAAGTCCATGCTGACCCTGGTTCCACTCACAGAACAGAGCTCTGATAAGAATCTGAGACAAGAATTCATAAAAGCTCTTGTCTCATCCCTGACTCAAACTGGCCTCTATTCTCCATGTATTGAGGTAATTTTCAACAATGGTGTTTTATTCATCCCCAGAAATAAAATGAGGCACTACATTTATGAAAGTTACTTACACATCCACAACAGGGTAGTATCGAACATTCCTATTGAGGTTATCTAAGATTTTCATGTCTTCTGGAGTCAATTGAAATTCAAAAACCTATCACAGAAGTAGATTTTCATTATTGTTATATTGCATATTGTCAATCTGAGAAATAGAAATTAATCCAACTGAATGGTGCAGAGGCAATTTTTAGAACAGATGAGAAGGTCTGGTGAGGTTGTTTGCTAGGCAAGCACTTGCCTGTGATGCACAGTGTTCTGGGTCTGATCATGAACACAGCTAAATAAATAAATACAATTAATGAGAAGTTACAAAAAGCTATTAAAGATATCAATAAAAACACTTCAGCTGTTAAAGAACACCATGTGAAAAAGAGAAATCCAAGTCTTTATTTAATACATTGAAATCACTTTATAATACAGATGAAATATCTTAAAAGAAGATTAAATTAAGTTCTGAACAATATGATTTAGTAAGATTTGTGGATACAGCTGGATTTCTAAATCCTACTAATAATCAGAATAAAAAGATTTTTCCTATAATTGAACTCTTAAATTGTCCAAAACAAATGATGTTATCATCATCAAATAGTATCAAAGCTAGATTGAAAATTATCTCATTGTCTAAATTAGTGTTAGATTGAGACAAAATAGAAAAAAAAAGATGATCTCTGCCAGGCATAGTGGCAAACACCTGTAACCCCAGGGATTCAGGAGGATTGCAAGTTCAATGTCAGCCTCAGTAACTTAGCAAGGCTCTAAGCATCCTAGTCAGACCCTGTCACAAATTAAAATATAAGAAAAAAATGGAGATGTGGCTCAGTGGCTAAGTGACCCTGGGTTCAATCCTCATTAAGAAAGAAAGATAGAGAGAGACAAATAAATAAATAAATAAATAATTGCTAGTATGTTGAAACTAATGGCTCTGAAGATCTATAGGAAAAGGTTAAAATGGGATACACAGAAGGAGATGTCAAAAATATAGGTAAGAGATGTTCATTAGATTATTCTTTGAACTTTCCTGTACACTGGGAAAATTTTCAAAAGTAGAAGGAAAACTTATTAGAAAAAAATCAAAATCATTGGTTTTCTGTTATAAAGACATAGACTGGAAGATTGGATTAAAAAATAAAGACCCAACAATACACTGTCTGCAAGAGACTCACCTCCTAGGAAAAACATTCATAGACTGAAGGATGGGAAAAACCATATCACTCATGTGAATCACAAAAACAAAATGGGTTTCCATCCTCAAATCAGATAAGTGGACTTCAAGCCAAAATTCATCAGAAGTGACAAAGAAAGACATTTCATACTGCTGAAGGGAACTATACGTCAACAAGACATAATAACCGTAAATATCTATGGCCCAAACAATGGAACATCTACATACATCAAACAAACTCTTCACAATTTGAAGAATCAAATAGATCACAGCACAATAATATTGAGTGACTTTAACTTTCTTCTCTGACCACCTAATAGGTCTTCCAAACAAAAACTAAGTAAAAGATATAGAACTAAAAATTCAATCAATAATTTAGACTTAACAGACAATATTTCATCCATCAAAAGTGAGTACACTTTTTTCATCAGCACATGTATCCTTCTCTGCAGTAAACCATATATTATGCCACAAAGCAATTCTTAGCAAATACAAAACAATAGAGACACTACCCTGCATTTTATTAGATCATAATGGAATTAAATTACAATTCAATGATAAACTAAAAAACAAAAGCTACTTCAACACCAGGAGACTAAAAAAAATATGCTATTAAATGATGAATGGATAGCAGATGAAATAAAAAAAAAACTTAGAGGTAAATGAGAACACCATTACAACATATCAAAACCTCTGGGACACTACAAAGGTAGTGCTAAGAGTAAAGTTCATTGCATTGAACTCATTCATTAAAAGAACAGAAAATCAATTAATGAATGAGCTAATATTACATCTCAAAGCCCTATGAAAAAATAAGAACAAATCAACACCAAAAGCATCAGAATAGAGGCAATATTTAAAACCAGAACTGAAATTAAAACAAAATAAACAATTCAAAAAATTGGAAAAACAAAGTTGGTTCTTTGAAAAAATTAATAAAATTGATAAACCATTAGCCATGTTAATGAAAAGAAAGAAAAAAACTCAAATTACTAAATTCATAATAAGAAAGGAAATATCACACTGACACTACTGGAATAAAGAAGATAATAAAAAATTATTTGGAAAACTTATACTCCAATAAAATAGAAAATCTTGAAGACATCAACAAATTTCTAGAGTCTTATGACCTACCCAAACTGAATCAGGATGATATACACAATTTAAAGAGATCAATTCAAGCAATGAAGTAGAGTATACAATCAAAAGCCTACCAACCAAGAAAAGCCCAGGAACAGACTGATTCACAACCACATTCTGCAAGATTTTCAAAGAACTAATACCAATACTCCTCAAATTATTCCATGAAATAGTAAAAGAGGGAAACCTTCCAAATTCATTCTATGAATCTACTATCACTGTGAAAGCAAAACTGGACAAAGTCACATAAAGGAAAGAAAACTTCAGACCAAAATCCCTGTTGAACTTAGATGCAAAACTTCTCAATAAAGTTCTGGCAAATCAAATACAAAAACATATTAAAAATATAGTGGACCACAAACAAGTGGGGTTCATCCCAAGGATGCAGGGCTGGTTCAATATACAGACATCAATAAATGTAATTCATCACATCAATAGACTGAAAGATAAGAATCACATGATCTCTCAATAGATGCATAAAGCATTTGACAAAATACAGCACACTTTTATGTTCAAAACACTAAAAAAACTAGAGATAATAGGAACATAGCTCAATATTGTAAAAGCTATCTATGCTAAGCCCAAAGCCAATATCATTCTAAATGGAGAGAAATTGAAAGCATTCCCTCTAAAAACTAGAACAAAACAGGGATGCTCTCTTTCACCACTTCTATTCAACATCCTTGAAACTCTAGCCAGAGCAATTACAGAGATTAAAGAAATTAAAGGGATATGAATAGGAAAGGAATAACTCAAATTATCACTATTTTCTTATGACATAATTCTATACTTAGAGAATCTAAAAAATCCACAGGTAAACTTCTAGAACTAGGGTTGGGGATGTGGCTCAAGCGGTAGCGCGCTCGCCTGGCATGTGTGCTGCCTGGGTTCGATCCTCAGCACCACATACAAAGATGTTGTGTCTGCTGAAAAAACTAAAAAATAAATATTAAAATTCTCTCTCTCTCTTAAAAAAAAGTATGAATCATAGCTCAAACTGTCTTTAAAAAAATAATAAATAAAAATAAATATTAAAAATCCTCTCTCTCTCTCCTCTCTCACTTTCTCTTTAAAAAAAAAAACTTCTAGAACTAACAAATGAATTCAGCAAAGTATCAGGATATAAAATCAACACTCATAAATCAAATGCATTTCTGTACATCAGTGATGAATCCTCTGAAAAGGAAATGAGGAAAGCTATCCCATTTACAATAGTATAAAAAATAATAATAAAATACTTGGGAGTCAATTTAATGAAAGACCTCTGCAATGAAAACTACAGAATATTAAGAAAGAAATTTTAAAAACTACAGAATATTAAGAAAGAAATTAAAGAAGACCTTAGAAGATTAAAAGAACTCCCTTGTTCTTGGATAGGCAGAATTAATATTGTCAAAATGACCATACTATCAAAAGTGTTACACAGATTTAATGCAATTCCAATCAAAATCCCAATGATATTCCTCATAGAAATAGAAAAAGCAATCATGAAATTCATTTGGGAAAATAAGAGACCCAGAATAGCCAAAGCAATCCTTACCAAGAAAAGTGAAGTAAGGAGGCATCACAATACCAGATCTTAAACTATACTTCAGAGCTGTAGAAACAAAATCAGCATGATATTGGCATCAAAACAGACATGTTGACCAGTTTTACAGAATAGAGGACACAGAAACAAATCCACATAAATACAGTTATCTCATACAAGACAAAGATGCCAAAAACATACAATAGAGAAAAGGATACTCTTCAACAAATGGTGCTGGGAAAACTGGAATCCATATGTAGCAAAATGAAATTAAACCTCTATCTCTCACCATGCATGAAACTCAACTCAAAGTGGATCAAGGACTTAAGCACTAGAACAGAAATCCTATATCTAACAGAAGGAAAAGTAAGCCTAAATCTTTACCATGTCAGCTTAGGAACCAAATTCCTTAACTAGACTTCTGAAGCTCAAGAAGTCAAATCAAGAATCTATAAATGGGATGGACTCAGACTAAAAAGCTTCTTCCCAGCAATAGAAACATTCAATAATTGTGAAGAGAGAACCTACAGAATTGGAGAAAAATGTTTACCACATGCACCTCAGACAGAGCATTAAACTCCAGGATATATACAGAACTCAAAAAACTAACAATAAAATTTAAAACAAATAACCCAATCAATAAATGGGCTAAGGAGTTGACCAGACACTTCACAGAAGAAATACAATTGACCAACAATCTAAGAAAAAATGTTCAATATCTCTGCAAATTAGAACTACTCTAAAATTTCATATCACTCCAGTCAGAATGGCAATCATTAAGAATACAACTACCGATAATCATTGGTGAAGATTTGGGGGGAAAGGTACACTCATACATTGCTGGTGTGACTGGAAATTAGTGTAACCATTATGCAAAGCAGCATGGAGATTCCTCAGAAAACTTGGAAGCATTTAACATTTTACAAAACAAAACATGTAACCCACTTATCCCACTCCTCAATTTATACCCAAAGGACTTAAAATCTGCTTACTACAGTGACAAATCCACATCAATTTTTATAGCAGCTCAACTCACAATAGTCTACCTATGGAACCAACCTAGATGCCCTTCAACAGATGAATGGATAAAGAAAATGTGGTACATATGCACAATAAAATATTATTTGCCAATAAAGAAGATGAAATTATGACATTATCCAGGAAATGAATGGAGCTGAAGAATATCATGCTAAGCAAAATAAGCCAATCACAAAGAACCAAAAACCAAATGTTTTCTTTGGTATACAGATGCTTATTCACAGTAAGCAGGACAGGGTGGCTAGGGAAGAATACACATACTTTGGATTAGACAGAGGAGAGTGAAGAGAGGGGAGGGGCATGGGGTAAGAAAGGACAGTAAAATGAAATCAGACATTATTACCCTATGTGCATATATAATTACATGACCACTGTAAACTGTACATCATGTACCATCAGAAGAATGAGAAGGTATACTCCATTTACATATGATGTGTCAAAGTGCATTCTACCATCCTGTATAACTAATTAGAGCAAATTTTTAAGAATTGTGTTTGCTGGTAATTGAATGGAAATGGAGGATATCATGCTAAGTGAAATTAGCCAAACTCAGAAACTCAAAGGTTGAATGCTTTCTCTTATGTGCAGAAGCTAGAGTAAAATAAAGAAAAGGGGTAGGGAATAATAAGATTCCATAAAGAACCAACAAAAACAAATTAATAGATAGGGGAAAGGAAATCTATTAGAGTATAGGAAATGGGAGATGGGAGGGAAAAGGGGGAGATCATGAACTGAAATCCATTTCTATGCATGTATGCATATGTGAGGATGAACCCAACTACTATTTATCACCATGAAGCTATAATAAAAAAATTCCTGGGTAAAAAAGAAAACGAGGATATTTAGTAATCTTGATTTATGATAAATTCATAGCCTTTCAGAGATTAACTTTCTGCATTATACTATAATATTTCTACCATATCAGCTGATGATGTTGAATAAACTTTAAGCAAAAGTTAAAGGTAATTCCCTATTATCTATATTATATGCTTTATCTACTTCTATCATTCTCATGAAAGAAAACACTGAACCCCTGAGTCAAACTTATTTAATTTAGTATAAAGTTCTCCAGCTCCAGTCATTTACATGAAAATGACATAATTCCAAGCTTAAAAAAAATCAT